AATTCTTAGGTAGCCAGTTTGACAACTATGAAGGCCAGAACAAAAATGATGCCAAACATGTCCCCACATTAATTAAGATATAAAGACATTTTTATTAGAAATAATACTTTTTGGATACCAAAAATGGTCATAAGTATGTATGAATAGATTAAAGGGAAACTTTGTAAATGTTTATATTTATATATATATAACCAATGTAATGGTTATATTCAAGTGATAGGTAAAGTTGACTCTTTTTAAATGCTCCTTTAGGCTGTAAATTTAAACTGAATTCAAACATTTATTGAGCACTTACCATTTACCAAATATAGGCTAGACTGTGAAACACATAGGGATTGAATATGGCATGTAGAGATTAGAGTAGAAGTTTCATCAAAAAGTAGACTAATGACAGACATATGGATGGATGTCTAGATAGATAAACAGAATAAGAGACTGAGGGAACAAAAAAGAAAAGAAGAAGAAAGGGAAGGAGGAAGGAGAAAAAGAAGAGGGAAGAAGAGGTGGGTGGGAGCGATGGAGCATCTAAAATGGCTTACAATGATCTCACCTCCTGATTATCACTGCTTGATAAAATCTCTTCCATTCCAGTAACTTACTTTTAACCAGCAGAATATAGCAACATTGAGGGGATGCCACTTCTGTGATTAGGTTACACAAGTTGTGACTTCTGTCTTGCTCACAGAATTTCTCTTGCTGGTTTGATGAAACAAACATCATGGAGTGGCTAGAGTGGCAAGGGACAGTGGGCAGTACCCAGCCAAAAGCCAGCAAGAAACTGAGGTCCCCAGTCTAACAATCTTTAAAGAATTGTATTAGTGATCTTAGAAACAGATCCTTCCCCAAGCAAGCCTTCAGATGAGATCACAGCCCTGGCTGATAACAGAATTTCAGCCTTGTGACAGACCGTGAAGGAGAGGATCTAGTTTGGCTGTATCAAATTCCTGACTCACAGAAACTGAAATAAGAAATGTGTGCTGTTTTAAGCCACAAAGTTTGGGGCCGATTTATTATTCAGTGATAGGTTAAGTAATCAAGATAGGCATAATAGATATAATTTTACATTACAATCAAAGTTGTGGCAATTATAAATCTCTAGACTCAGACAAATTTCATTAAGATGGATTAGAATTTTAACTGTTTACATTCTCTCTACTACAATCTATAAGCAAGAAATTCCTCTTCCTCCTCAGAATTCAATTGCTAATATGGGAAGAAAGGGGGAACACTTTGTAGAGAATAGTAATAACAACAATAATAGTAAAACTATTCATAGAGCACTTATAAGTCATTTCACATTCATAGCATTCCTATGGGTAGATAACTACTATTATCACCAGTTTGCAGAAGAAGTAAAGCACAGAGAGGCTAAGTAAGTTGTCTAAGGTAACATAGCTTCTCAGTTATGAAAAGTTACCAAGCATTACTTCAAATAGTCTTTCTCATCTATTCTCCAAAATAACCTTCCAGGTGAGTGGACCTGGGGTTCTGACAGATGTCTAACTCCAAAGCCTTCACTCTTCCGACCACACAATGGTCTTAATATGCAAACTTATGTATAATCATAATAAATGCAATAAATGAACATCACTGCATGTTAGGTAACATGCTCATATGTAAGTGCTTAACATCCATTTTCTCATTTTTTTCCCAACAATCCTGTGAATTAGTTGTTTACTGTTATCCCATTTTAAAGAAACAGAGGTTAAACCAGAAATCTCTGTAAATGGAGAGAATAACACTTAGTTCATAGGGTGATGCTATTAAGTGAAATGTGTCCCCCCAAAACATACGTTGAAAGCCTAACCTGGTAGTCAGAATGTGACTTTATTTGGAAATAGGGTTGTAGATGTAGTCAGTTAAGATGAAGTCATACTGCAGTTTTAATTAGAAGATGGAGGTCACACTTAATCTGACCGGCATCCCTATAAGAAGACACAGACACACCGAAAGGAGAATGCCATGTAAAGTTAGAGACACACAGGGAGAAAACCAGCACAGGAGGATGGAGATGCCGTTATGGTAACACCACCCAAGGAACACTTGGGGCCACTGGACGCTGGAAGAGGCAAGCGAAAAGCCTCCCTTTGACACTTTTGAGAAAGCCCGGCCCCATGGACACCTTGAATTCAGATTTCTAGCCTCCACAACTGTGAGAATAAGTGTCTCTTTATTTTAAGCCGTTTGTGAAATTTCATCATGACAGCCAAAGAAATTTGATAAAGGTGGTATCAATGTGAAGTGAAAAAGAAAAAGTTACATGAAAATGCTGAAAAAAGAGTATTTAAAGTGCTCTGCAAAGAGTATTTTAAAAACGTCTCTAGTATGAGGAATGTTAATATGGTGCCAGGGTATGCAAAGCCACAGGATTAAAGTGACTGCATTTTCCAGGGAGTTTATTTTACTCTGAGATTCTGTGGGAAGTGTGGTAATTAATTTAACTGGTAAGTAATTTAAACAAACAAAAACAAACAAAGGCAGTCAAATAAACACAGGTTTTTTGTTTTAAGAGAAAAGAAAGGGTCTGTTACTGTTTTTTTTAAGGCATGTTTGGACTAGATCTCCAGGCTGTCAGGAGCACCATTAGCCCCTCTCTGTAGTTGGGGAAACATCAGCAAAAAAACTATGGTAAGTCCTGAATGGAGACTTTGGGCTGCTAACTGGTTTACAGCATATGGGCTTCTCATGCCACACCCGGTCTGAGGAAAGTGTCTAATTGAGGTCTCAAGGATGGGCAGAAACTATTTGACAACTGTCCATCTCCCCTACCTGCAACACAGGGGCTGCTAGAAGTACCCCAGGCTCCTGCCCAGAGAGCCAAGCTCCTTGCCATTCTGGTGAAATAGGTCACTCTGAGTCTCCCACATGGGAAGCCCAGGGTGGAGGGCAATCCTTGCTCTTCTCTGGCAATGCTGCTCAGAACACGTCATCTGAGCGTCTTTACACTCCGTGATCATGATAACACCCATGATTTCCCCCTGCATTCCTTGATTTCCTAAGTGTCATCATCTCTCCTCCTCTCTTTGAGTCTTAGAAACAAATCTTATCAATAAAATAGGAAGATAGCTGGTGTCACAAATGTGGGTAGTCTTGGATGGTGATTCAGTACTAACCACTTCTCAGGCTGTGACTGTAGGCAAGCTCTCTGACCTTAATGAGCCTTGGTTGCCCCTTTTGTAAGATGGAGCTATTGATACCTACCTGAGTCATTGTTGAGGGGATCAACTTTGACATGTGACAATATCTATGGAATGCCTGCTATATTGCTGGTGTTCAAAAAATGGTCCAGTCTTACCTGACTGACCCCACTGAATTACACTGCAGTTAGAAAAACTCTAGGCAAATGGGGAGTGCCATTTGCCTAAGGTCACATTTTTTAGTCTGACTCTCTTACTCAGCAACTCTTATGTGCTGGGCACAGTGCTCACAGATGGGACAACAAATGGGCATTGTCCTTCAGCTCACTGACAAAGATCACAGGGAAGTGGATAATTAAAGTCCAGCCTGTTATTTGTCCTATGAGAAATCATCAGATTACAAGTCCTGGTACTTGCTGAGCATGCAGCGAGCACCGTGGAGTTTCCAGGAGCCCAAGAAGTGAGAGAAGAAAGCATACCACCTCACCTGGCCCCGAAAGGTTCTGTTTGCACCCACACACTGCCTGTTTTGAGCAAAACCTGCTCCAGGGGCCTTCAGCCCCCAACTCTTGTTTTAGCCCACTCCTGATTCAACCTGTTCCTGGCCTTCCAGACAAACCCGGGCTGGCCCTGGGCTGCAAGTATACACTTGAGGTCTCAGATAGCCCCAGAGCTCTGTGCCAATCCATGTAACTAGTGCCCCCCTGATGCCTGTTCAAAGAATGCCAGAAGGATACCACCCCAGCCTCCTGTTGTGCACCATACTGGAAGTGTTGGGAGCTGGGCCTTCTGGAATGAGCAGTCTAGAGAATGTAAGATCTAATTATAATAATAATGATGGTGATAAAAAAAGTTACCACTAATTAAGTACAAACCACTATATATTCATAATCTTGGTTAATCCTCATAGCAAACCTCATATCCATTTAGAGACAAATACTTGGGGAGAGAAATTAAAAAAGGTAAGAGAGTGGGTTCTTTTATAGAACTGGGTTCCAATCTGGGCTTTATAGTTACGAACATGTGGCCTTGCTGTTTAACCATTTGGGCATTAGTTGCTTATTTAATAAGATCATATGAAGGTCAAGTGAACTCTACATATGTGAAGTGCTTAGCTGCAGCCAGACACCAAGTGCACAAAGATGTTATCTTTGTTCCTTGTTTTTATCAACATGCAGGGTCACACACCTAAGTGGGATTTCAAGCCCAAGCCCATCCTATTTCAAACCATTTCCTGTTCCTGTTCCTGTTCCTGGCCACCTGCAAGAGCCAGTAATTGGGCCCACACCATCTAAGGGACCACAGGTCCTTGTCTGCCAGTACACCAGACCACCTCCCTCCTGGAAGATTCTACCCTTTCCTGGCTCCCCCAAAAGCCAACTTGCTTTTGTGGATTTTTTGCATAGCTTCAGTCAGCAGGGACAGGAGCTGCAGAGATGTTCCCATATCTACTTCTGCTGCTGGCCTCCCAGATGACCAGGTAAAAGACTCCTTCACAGGAGCAAATTTGTTCATCAGAGATACCTGTTTCCAGGACGCGGTGTGTTATTGGGAGAAATGTGGAGCCTGAAGAACTATCTTTCTAAACGAGTCCCAAGTTCCCTGCTTGTCCCAGAGTGAAAGTTGAGTTCCTGCAGTTCTCAGATGGGGACGCTGAGGTTGAGAGGGGCTCTTGGGCGAGGTGCAGCCTTTGCTGAGGACTGCAGGAGGTCACGGTTTAGCGCAGGGATCATTGGAATCAGACACGTGCTGATTTAGCTGCAGACCCACTCTCTGAGTAAATCTGAGCAGGCCTCCTTCGCCTCAGTTTCTGTACAACGGGCCTCAATTTGTCTGTACAATGGGGACAGAGAGCCAAATCACGTGCTCCTAATGCCCGCAGTTCTCTGGTAAGTGCTCGCTCCTTCCGGGCCGCTGGGCCACGAGCGCCGCGCTCGCGGGACTCCAAGCCCCAGCATGCCTCGGGGGCGGGGCGCAGTGACGGACAGGCGGTCTTGCGAATTGGCGGTCGCCAGGGGCGCGCTGCGACGTGTGCGCAGAGAGAGGCGGGCGGGTGGGCTGGCGGACGGCGGACGCGTCGGAGCCGCGGGCGGTCAGGTAAGGGGCGGGAAGGAGGGTCGGGGATGAGGGTCTGCGGCCGCAGTCGCAGGCCGTGGCTGAGCGGCGGGACGGGGGCTGTGATGGCGTGCAGCGGCCGGCCCACGCCCGAATGGCGGGGTCTGGGGACTGGATCTGAGGGGCAGTACGGGGTGGGGGTGGGGCTGTGAGGAGCAGGCTGGGGAGGGATTCGATGCGGTCAGGGGCCCCGAGGAGATTCATCTCCGGGAGGGCAGCGAGGGGCTATGAGAAAATATGCTGTGTAGCATCTCTGGAGGTATGAGGTAATATGGGGGCCCTGAGGAAAGGGGGTGCAGCATCAGGGGTAATAGGGCGGGATCTGAAGGCCCTGGAGGCACCAGGGGTACAGAATTAAGGAAATAATGAAGGAATAATGAAGGAATGGGAAGCCCCTGATGAGATTTGGGACCCTCAGGAGATTTCAGGAAATCTGGGGGCTCTAGCCATTTAAGGGGCTAAAATCTGAAGTCAGAGGCAGCAGTATTTGGAGCTGTCCTAATTGCGTTTTCTTTATGGGCTCTGGGGAAAATTGAGTTCTTGGAATCAGCGGGAAGCAGTATCTAATTAGCGAGAAGAGACCTGGTTAAGGCAACACATGACAGGGTGGGTAAAAGAGGAAGAAGCTGGGTTTGAGGGGGAGCACAGTGCCTGATGGATGGTGGGAGCTGGCGGGCTCGGATTGAGCGACGTCAGAAATTTGAGGAGTAGAATTGGAATGGTGAACTGGGATGCAAGGATGTAGGATGCAGAGATTTGCAAACAGGTTAAAGGATGTCTGCCAGAGGGATTTGGGGCACGAGTGAGGAATTGGTGAGAATTGCAACAGAGAGCCCAAAATGCTAGAGTTCTGTATAGAAAGAGGGTTGGGAACAGGATTTAGGGAGGGTTGAATGGTGGGGTGGAGACATACTAAAGTCTATAGAATTAAAGGACTTGAGTAGTAGCTCTGTGAACTGGTGGTGTTTTGGGCTGCTAGTGGAATTTTCCTGAAGTCTCTGCATGGATGGGAAGCAAAGGGAGTTCTGGAGACCTGCGGACCCAGAACTAATACATGAGACTGTATATGAATGTATGGGTGTAGCAGAGCTCAGGGGTTCAGCACTAAAGTCAGAAGTCTTCAGAGATCAGGACTGATGAAAGAACCTGGCATTCCCTCTGAGGGACAGAATGTCCCTCACTCATTAACCAAAGGTCCCTTACAATGAGGCAGCCATGGTAGCACCAGTAACTCCACCCTGAACTGTAGGCCCACTGAAAGTGCTAGGCTTCCAGGGAGAAGAGAGTAGTTAAAGGGGACCTAAGGCTAGAAGAAGCTATTCAAGGTCATCTGCCTAAGTTCCTCTTTGCCTGTGCTGCCAGGCAATGGTAGCAAATAGTGTGTGAGACCTCCAGGGGATGAATGGAACATGGTCTCAGGCCTTATTTTCTTCTAAGTAGATTGAGTTAATCCTATACAAGGCCATTATGGCTCTAAGAGTCAGTGGCTCTGCAAATAAGCTGTTTGGATTGGGAGAGAGACAGGATTCCTAATGGGGCATGGTTTTGTCCTACAGGGGACATTTGGCAATGTCTGAAGACATTTTTGGTTTTCACAATTGGGGTATGGGGTACTACTGGCCTTCAGTAGGTAGACACCACAGATCAAACAGACATCCGAGCGTAAACATCCTACAGTGCACTGAACAGCTCCCACAATAAAGAGTATCTGGCTCAAAATGTCAAAGAGTGCCAACATTGAGTAACCTTGCTCTAGACCCTGCTATCCTGTATTCAAATCCTGGCTTTTTCTTCCTGACTTTGTGATCTTGAATGAGTTCCTTGACCTCCCTAGTTTTGGCTTTTTATCTGTAAAGTGGGATTAATAACAGGCCTACATCAGAGGTAATTGTGAATATTCAGTGAAGTAAATGAGAGTGCTCAGTATCTGGTGCATAGTAAGTGCTCAGAAGTTAGGAATATAAAATGTTCATGTCTACTTTCTTAATCCACTTTCACAGTAGTTCTACATTGGTTTTGCTATAATATCCAGTTTTACACATAAGGAAACTAAGGCTTAGGAAGTGACTTGTTTCAGGTCCCATAGCTAGGCATTGCAGAGCTCGGCATACATTTCAGATCTCTGTAACCCTGTGTATTCTCTTTCCTTGTTTTTTCCTTGCTGGGGCATTATTGCTCCAAACCCAAATACTTACAGTCTTATTATCTCAGCCCATTCTCCTCTAAAGAAAGGATTGCCCTGTGAGTATCCTGGTAGCAAATTGAAATCTAAATGGAATATGATTAGGTAGGGAGTAGCCCTGGACTTTGTTTTTGATTTGCTCGTCGACCAGGACCAGTGGGTATATAATAAGAAGAGCTTGAGGTTAGCAGATAGGATGAGGTGCAAGAGACTTGGGGGTGAGGGAGTATCTTGAAAAACTACTTCATAGCAGGGACTGAGGCTGAAGGTAGCCCTACTCTGGAGAATAACTCCTGTTCTGATTATCTCTTTTGGGCCTCTTTCCCCTAGGACAGAATAATAGCATTTGCATTGTCAGCTTTGAGACGAGCTATGGCATTGCTGAAGCCAGTTCAGGAACAGCAGGACTGTGTCATCAGGAAAGACACTTAGCTGTAACATTCACATACCCTTAAGGAAAATATGTAATGGGACTCAAACACAGCCTGGGAATCAGAGCTTGGAGTCCAAAATCCTTCCTCTGCTGCTAACTTTACTAGGTGATCTTGGACAAGCACTTGGCCCTTATGAGCCTCAATCTGTTAAAAATACAAATAGCTACCACTTAACCAGTGCTTATTATGTGCATTATCTCAGTTAATCCTGTCAATGATCGTGCCCACAATGTAGGTGTTGTTCCATATTTTACAGGTTAAAAAAAACCAAACAACTAATAGGCTAAATGATTTACCAAAGGCTATATAGTAAATGGCAAAGCAGGGGTGTGAGCCAAGTTCTGTCTGATAGTTTTAACTAGTTTTATTAGAAGGGCTTTTCCAGCATTGAAGGAGACATTTGTGTCTGGAGAATGGCAGGTAGTCAAGTTGACAAGGCCTGTGAAGTGGATTGTTGTCCAAAACACTGATATGCTGCCTCTGTGACACTCCTGCCGTTATGCCCTTCTTATAAAACAATCAGCTCTACAAATCTTGAGGTGCCTTTACTAGCAGCTCCGCCAGACTGCCTAGCGGTAACGGTAGGCCCATCAGCCAGGGCACCGTAACACATCTCTTGAGCCAGTGTGGTTTTATGGCTGGCAGTTGACACTTTGGATTTGAATTCACGTCCTACTGCCTGCAGCTGTGAGACCTCAGACAGGTTGCTTTTCTCAGAGCCTTGGTTTCCTTATTTAGAGAGAGGAATGACACATACTTTCCACAGTTACTATGGAATAGGAGGGGATGTATAAAAGGTGCCTGGCATTCAGTAAATGGTAGTCTGTTGAGAGGTAGCAATTATGAGAGGAAGATGATGTCAGGGAACTGAGTGTTGGCTTTGCCAACTCTCACTGACCCTAAGCCGCCCCTACCAGTCTCCCTCATATTCTCTTCCTCTCCCATACATCTCCCAGCACCTGCTTCCTTATCCTTTAATCAAAATCTCATGATTAAATGAATTTGTATTGTATGCAGAGAAAGGAACTGAAAGGGAGCTGAGTGGGTTGACATGAGTTGGAGGCCCCCTGAGAAAAGACTTGACTTCTCCCTTGTCCTGTGTCATTTGAGTCATGTTGACACGTTGGTATTCCTCAAATGTTTGTGGAAGACACAAAGGAAACTTTCCAGGTCCTGTCTTCCTCTGGAGGAAGATAGAGAACAGACAAGTGTGTTCTAGCCAACTCTATGACTGATTTAACTTGCCCTTGATACATTTTAGCTAAAGATTCCTCTCCCCTACAGACATTTCTTTCTGGGTTGTCTTACACATCCCAGACTGGTACAGCTTTGGGATCATGCTTGTGTTTTCTCTATAAGCCCCTACTTGTTGAGTTTATCTTTGCTGTTTGCAGGTACCTTAAATTTCCTGAGTAATCTAAACTTCAAAATCCTCTCCTAAACACAGGACTGGGTGAATGTCAGGAGGTGACCTCACTAACTTCCTTGAAATCAGTCTTGCTGGCCACTCCCAGAGAGTGGCTACTGGTGGCTTGGGGATGGTTATGCACTTAATCGACACGGCACTCAAATACAGGAGGAATAAATACAGTTTAGAAAGCTCTCAAGAAAAGAAATGTGATAAGCCTTGCAAAAACCGAAAACGGGAATGTGTGATGGAGGGAAATGTACTATTTCCTTATTTTCTAGTTTTTAGGTGAAGAGCTCTGTTCATGTCTGGTTTTTCTTCAAACTATATCTCCAGTGTCTCCATGAGGCCTGACTCAGTAGGTGCTCAGTAAAGACTTGTTTAGTTAACTGCTTAAAGTTCTGCAGTTTTGCTTATGGCCTAAGCCCTCAAGGACCTTAGAGAAGTATAAGAAATAGACACATCTAGAGAAGTTCCCCATGGTGGGGATTCAAACACTGGATGGAGATTCGAAACCTCAGGTCATCTCTGATCCTGTGATTCTGAGTTCACGTAAAACAATCTCCAGGTAAGGCTCAGAATTTTTATTTTTTGAAATGTGTGTAATGGTATCTTGGGTACAGTCTGCCTATTGAAAAGTGCCACTGCTCCTGCTAAAAACTATTGACCGCACAGTTAATTGCTTGGTACTGTACTAATTGCTTTATACACATCATCTAATCTCTACAACAACCTGTGAGGAAGATACTATTCTAAAGTCCTTTTCTTAGATAAACTGAGAAGTGGAGAGGTTAGGTTCCTTGCACAAGCCTGTGTGGTTAAGTGGTGGAGTGGGCCTCAGAAGCCTGAGTCCTGAACTCACTTTCTTAGTCTGTATAATACTGTCCACCCCCAGTTCCTGCCTTTCAGCCCTAGCTCTGCCATGTGATTAATGAGATCTTGATTAGTCTCTACTGATCTCACTTTACTCATCTACGTGACCCTTTGGGATCACTGCTAATTCTAGCATTCCATACTTAGTTTTTGCTAGAAGGAGCTGCTGGAACTTACTTTCTGGGCACGAGTTGTGGACTCCTTGCCCACCAGTTTCTACCATGAGTTCATATTGAGTTTCCACCTGACTCATTCTCAGTATTAATGATAGTCAGATCATTTCAAAGCTGGCCAGTCCTTTCATTAATCTGTATGTGCCTGCGTATGCTGTGAAAGGAAAGATTCTCCATCCTTTCAAAATGCAGTTTTTAAATGGAATGCTTTAGTACGGGTACTAGTTGTTACTATTATTAATACTATTCCTGATTATTACTAAAACTGCGATAAATAGTAATCTTTCATTGCACACCTATCAGTCTCTAGGCTAAAAACTTTGTATTATGCATTATCCCTAATTATTACAACTTTTATAAACTAAGAAAACAGGTTTAGTGAGGTTAAAAATTTATTGACTGTCCCACAACTTGTAAATTGTAAATCAAAAGTGCTGATTGGATCACAGTTCTGACTTCAGGATCAGTGGGTTTTCGTTTGTTTTCTGCTATGACGGTTACGTATATCATGGACTGGGGAACACCTGGTGGTGCCAGAACCTGCCAGATCAGGCTAGGGTTTAATTACAGAATTTTACCCAAAGACCTGAGTCTTAGGGCAGCTAGAGCACATACAGCTTAAGAGGTAGATCCTCATCTGGAGCTAAAGAGCTGGGCTGGTATGAGAGTGGATGTGCATTGTTAATCACAAGATCAAAGGAGTGAAGGGGGTGGGTAAACTGAGATGACATGAGATAAGGGGTCAAGAGTTGGCAGTACAAAGTGCACAACAGGGAACATGTTCAAGGTGTCATGGAGGCAGCCAAAATCATAACTAACATGTTAGGGAGCCATTCTGATTGGTTTCAGACCTTACAGCCGGCAGAAAAAGGGCAGCTCACTTAAAGACTTGGGGTAGAAAGACAATTCCTTTCACCCATCTGTTCTTTTCAGCGAGTTCGAATTGACTTTCCACCTCAATCATTCTCAGTATTAACGGTAATGACCAGATGTATCCTTTCAGAGAAGGGCTGTGTCTGCCTGTCACATAGCTCCATATCAGGTTAAGATTCTGCTGAAAGCACTGTTTCCAGGTCATAGAAATGGGGGAGACATGGTTGAGACTTTTTCCAGGTCTGAGGCAGTCTCCATGCCTGATGCTTTCGCAATAGGAATTCTTGTTTTCCTTCCTGGGCAAAGTGTGGTAGCTTTGGGAAGGTATCTGTGACAATTTCCCCTGCCTCAGAGAGACTAGTGAAATTGCAGACAGTTAAAGATAATTTGGGGTATGGATGTGGGCATAGTTAATTCATTTTTTTTAAGTGGATGGCTTAGGGAGGCAGGAAGCATTTTAATTGAAGGAGGTGGTATGATTTTCCAGAAAGCTGGGGGAAGAATTTGCTGGTATTTCTACAAGTTGGCAGACTTGTTTAATTAGCTGATCTGTAGTGCCAGGTCTGGGAAGAACAGATGTCCCTGTGAATTGTAAGGTAACATATTCTGGATCCAAACACCAAATGTTATCCTCAGTCTGTTGTTCCAGATGATGGAAGAGAGAACTGAAGCCTCAGTTTAGAATTGAGGTTTGCATGGATTCCTGAGTTGAGGTTTCTATCAATATTTTTCTATTATTGCCCCCACATCCATGGCATTTAAGAATTCAGTTCATGGTTTCAGATATTCACATGAGACATTATAGGTTCATAATATATTATGATGTGTTATTTTGTTGAGGCATGGATTTGGGTCAAAATGAGTTGCAAGACTGGTGTGTGGGAGTGGGTCACTTAACTAATAAATCAATCTAACCCACTCTAGTAGCTAGACCTCCTAACTGTATTATTGTTCTGTATTACTTGTGGAGAAAATTACATGCTATAAGCCAGTATTTCTCATAATATGGACTAGAGAACACTTGTTAATAAGTGTTAAGTGACAGTTTTAAAAAAAGAGCTTAAAATAATGTTTGTTAAACAAAATTAAAGATATCTGTACTTTGGGGTTCATGTTCAAAACCATGTTTGAATTATGTGACCTTGAGCCAGTTTTTCTAAGTCTTAGTTTCCTCATCTGTAAAATAGGATAATAAAAATAGTGCCTACTTCATAGGGTCATTAAGAAGATTAAATGAGATTAAGTATATGAAGCATCTAGGATGGCAACAAGCACATAGTAGGTACTGAGTATTTGCTGTTTCCCCTTCAGTAGAAGGGGTGTGGGATTTCAGGAAGGTGGGGTTGACTTTAGATAAATTGTGCATGTCTGTTATTGAATATTTGTCAAATTTAGATGCCAAACTGAATATGGGGGGAAATCTTTACTGCGTATATGCAATGACTCCCTTCTTCTGTATGCATGAAGAAAGTTGATAACATTTGCAAAGCTTTCCTCAGCTTGCTACATTGTCCTTAAAACCAAGCTAACATGCCCTCCTCCTCCTCTGTGGTTGACCATCTGCAGATCACAAGACTGCACAGGTGCAGCTGTAGGAATTCCATTTAGGAAGGGCTGAATTTATCCATATGCCTCACCCTGCTAGATCTGTTCATTCTAATTTGGGGCATAAATTGACAATGACGTAAGGCTGCAGAGCAGTGAGATCTCTGTGGTTCTATTTTATGAGCATCTGTGGATCAAGGAGGGTGGGAGTATTCAGGGCATATACTTAGTGAAGCAGGGGGTGTTCCAGGCCAAAAATAAACTGTCTTGAAAGGCAATACCATTTTAAAAATCATCTGGGCTTCACTCACTGGCTATCTTAGTTCCACCACTTCCCTACCCTAATCCACTGAGTTTACAAATCTTAGTGTTTGTACTTCTGGAATATTGCTAAAATGCATCTTCTTTCCATTTCTAACACCAGCACCCTAGTTCACCCTCCTTTATCTCCCTCTGGCAATTTTGCAGTAGCTTCCAAACTAGTTTCTTTTCCTTTCTGTCTACTCCATTCAAGCTTTGATCATACCAGTTCCCTGCTCCAAAATGCTCATTACATCGCTATGCCCATCAAAATGAAGTTCAAAGGACTCATTTTGGCTCTGAAGACTTGTTATAATTATTCCCCAGTTTACCTTTGCAAACCAGTTACACTAATCTCCCTATATTCTCCTACAATTTTAACCTAAGGATAAGATAAAAAAAAAACAACAAAAATTAAGACTCTTGGTGCTGAGGGCAAATCTTAGCATTGTATACAGTATATGCATTATCTCATTTAATCCCTGAATTAACCTCATGAAGGCAGTATTATTCTCATTTTACAGATGAGGAAACAACCCAGAGCCTATGTAATCTCTGTTCTTTTTCTAATACTCTGAAGTTTTTGTCTTGTCCCTTGCTTTCTAACCTTTGTGAAGACTCTGCCCTTTGCCTGGTACTCTCTTTCCCCATCTGCACATATCTGTGCATCTTCTAGGACCCTATCAAATGCCAGAAAATTGTTTCCCTTCAAGTTAGGGTGAATACCTCTTAACCTCCAACAAACTCAGTTCATACCTCATTTATGATACTACTTTCTGCCTTGATTATTATTTACCTACATGTCTTGTCTCCTTTTCTAAAGTCTAAGCATCTGAAGGGCAGGATTTGTATGAGAAGCTTAGTGTCTGTCTAGTGTAGTACTTGGTACCTAGTCTTAGATGGGTGAATTGGTGAACAGATAGAGGAGGCTAGATGAATGAAAAATACATGTATTTTCTGACCTAATATTTTGCTGAACACCTAAAGCTTATCATTTAATCAGCATAACCTACTACTCTGTATGATTCCTAGGATCCTCAACATGACATGGTAAACTATATAACACAACAAAAAGTCTCCATGCTTTTGCTCACAGTTTTCTTTCCTTAAAATGCCTTTCCCCATCTACACATATCTGTGCATCTTCTAGGACCATTTCTTGGAAGCAAGCCTTCCCCAGTTCTTCTAGGTAGAATCTGTTACTCCATCTACTGGGCTCCTGCAAAAGTTAGTGTATGATCCTTTCCTGTACTTAATTTTTCTGTTTTTCTCCTAATATAAATGATGAGTTGTAGACATAAGAAAATATAAAAGTCACCACTGACACTTATCAAGCATACTACTTTCCAGCACTATACTAAGTGCATTGTGTTCAGCATATTATTTAAGCTTACTCTGCCAGAAACCAGAGAAAGTAGACATCATGATTATTTCAATTTTTTAGATGGGTGTTGGGGACACTGAGCTTTGGGAAGTTTAGGTTACTTCATTACGATCACACAACGAAGCCTCAGACTCCGGAACCTGAGTCCTTATCCCTTGGGCAGTGTTTTGTCCGGTTTGTTGTGTATCACCCTCAGCTACCAGAGGGTAGACCTCAGTAAATAATTCTTAAATAAGACAGTGACTGAATGAGTGGTGGTAGCTGTTTTCTGTTTTTTGAGTGGATTAACTCACATAGGCAATGGAATAACAGCTGATTCTTCTCTTTAGGAGGATTTGACCGTCTGGAACATGCATACTAAGCTCTGCAGTTCTGGGCTGTGCCAGCGGATCCTTTAAAGGAAGAGCTATGGCTGCCGCAGCAGCTTCTCACCTGAACCTGGATGCCCTCCGGGAAGTGCTGGAATGCCCCATCTGCATGGAGTCCTTCACAGAGGAGCAGCTGCGGCCCAAGCTCCTGCACTGTGGCCATACCATCTGTCGCCAGTGCCTGGAGAAGCTGCTAGCCAGTAGCATCAATGGTGTCCGCTGTCCCTTCTGCAGCAAGATCACCCGCATAACCAGCCTGACCCAGCTGACAGACAACCTGACGGTGCTGAAGATCATTGACACAGCTGGGCTCAGCGAGGCCGTGGGTCTGCTCATGTGCCGGGCCTGTGGGCGGCGGCTCCCTCGGCAGTTCTGCCGGAGCTGTGGTGTGGTGTTATGTGAGCCCTGCCGGGAGGCGGACCACCAGCCCCCTGGCCACTGCACCCTCCTCGTCAAAGAGGCGGCTGAGGAGCGGCGTCAGGACTTCGGAGAGAAGTTGGCCCGCCTGCGGGAGCTTACGGGGGAGCTGCAGCGGCGGAAGGTGGCCTTGGAAGGCGTGTCCAAGGACCTCCAGGCAAGGTATAAGGCAGTTCTCCAGGAGTACGGGCACGAGGAGCGCCGGGTCCAGGAGGAGCTGGCTCGCTCGCGGAGGTTCTTCACAGGCTCGTTGGCGGAGGTTGAGAAGTCCAATGGTCAGGTGATAGAGGAGCAGAGCTACCTGCTTAACATTGCGGAGGTGCAGGCCGTGTCTCGCTGTGACTACTTCCTGGCCAAGATCAAGCAGGCAGATGTAGCCCTGCTGGAGGAGACAGCTGATGAGGAGGAGCCAGAGCTCACCGCCAGCCTGCCACGGGAGCTGACCCTACAGGACGTGGAGCTCCTTAAGGTCGGCCATGTCGGTCCCCTCCAAATTGGGCAGGCTGTCAAGAAGCCCCGGACGGTCAACATGGAAGATTCCTGGGATGTGGAGGCTGCAGCCTCGGCTGCCTCTACCTCTGTTACTTTTAGAGAGATGGACCTGAGCCCTGAGGGAGTGGTCGCCAGCCCTAAGGCCTCTCCGGCTAAGCTGCGGGGCTCTGACATGGCTGCCAACATCCAGCAGTGTCTCTTTCTTAAGAAGATGGGGGCCAAGGGCAGCACGCCAGGCATGTTCAACCTTCCTGTTAGTCTCTGTGTGACCAGTCAAGGCGAGGTCCTGGTTGCTGACCGTGGCAACTACCGTATACAAGTCTTCACGCGCAAAGGCTTTCTGAAGGAGATCCGTCGCAGCCCCAGTGGCATTGATAGCTTTGTGCTGAGCTTCCTTGGGGCTGATCTGCCCAACCTCACTCCCCTCTCAGTGGCCATGAACTGCCACGGGCTGATTGGTGTGACTGACAGCTATGACAACTCCCTCAAGGTATACACCTTGGATGGCCACTGCGTGGCCTGTCACAGGAGCCAGCTGAGCAAACCCTGGGGCATCACAGCCCTTCCATCTGGCCAGTTCGTGGTGACTGATGTGGAAGGCGGGAAGCTCTGGTGCTTCACCGTTGACCGAGGGGCAGGGGTGGTCAAATACAGCTGCCTCTGTAGTGCCGTGCGGCCCAAGTTTGTCACCTGTGATGCTGAGGGCACTGTCTACTTCACCCAGGGCTTGGGCCTTAATCTGGAGAATCGGCAGAATGAGCACCACCTGGAGGGGGGCTTCTCCATTGGCTCTGTGGGCCCTGATGGGCAGCTGGGTCGCCAGATTAGCCACTTCTTCTCCGAGAACGAGGACTTCCGCTGCATCGCTGGCATGTGTGTGGACGCCCGTGGTGATCTCATCGTGGCTGATAGCAGTCGCAAGGAAATTCTCCACTTCCCTAAGGGTGGGGGCTACAGTGTCCTCATTCGAGAGGGGCTTACCTGTCCAGTGGGCATCGCCCTCACTCCTAAGGGGCAGCTGCTGGTCTTGGACTGTTGGGATCATTGCATCAAGATTTACAGCTATCATCTGAGACGATATTCTACTCCTTAGGGGGTGAGGAGATCAGTTTCTGCTTCTCAGCCAGTTTCTCTTTTCCTTATTCCTTGGTGGTTGGCAGTAGTGTAGAATAGACTTGGCTTATGTCCTCATTGCAGCTGGCTAGTCGTGGAATTTTTGATGCCCTGTCTTTAGTGTTTCTTATTTGCATTATTTCCCCTGCTAAATTTAGAGCCAAATAGGACACGTGCTGTGGGGTTAGCCGAACTTTGGTTAGAACTTAGGCACTTCCAGGCTTCAGCAGAGAGCCTTCTGCCCCTGTATTTGAAATTTGCCCTTGTTGATTCTCCTCTTTTGACTCTGATAATCCTTGTCCATTATTTCCTTCCTGTTAGAATATTCATCATGTGTGGCACTTTCTCCTCAACTCTGCTGCATTTAGTGTGCATGCTCCAGGGGGATCTCCTCCCCCTCCCGGTGACATTTCAGGTATCGTATCCCGGTGGCATGATGTCCCGACCCTGGTCACCTTTACCAGTGTGAAAGCTCATTCATTGCCACCAAAGGAGATAAACAATCCCTTTGAGAGGCATTGCCTCTTGGCTCTATAGAGGTTTTGTGCCAGTGACAGAATGGATTGATCCTAGTTGGTTGGTCAAGGACTTTAGCCTGGGATTGCTTGCCTTTGAAAGGACCATATGGATTGGAATTATGTCAATGTGTAGGAAGATGGGAATAAACAAATGAAATGCTAATATAGTTAGTAAACACCCCTGGATAGTCTCTACAGCTCACTGTTTTTCATACTCACTCTCTCCACTGACCTGTGCTAGCAGTTGCCTGTGGAATTGTACCATACAGGCCAAGGCCAGCGAAGTGGAGGGTGGGGAGACACATCTCATTCATGACTAAAAGCAGACTTCCAGGTCTTTACTCTGTTATTTTCCCCAGGTGATTACATAACATTTGGTTTCAAGATATTTCCATTCCTCTATCAAGTATTAAATAATTGATAACTGTTCTTCATCACTGGTGTTCATCTCTTTTAATTAAACATGGAATTTGGGAGGTCAGGAGAAGGACAAGTTATACCAGGCTGTTTTGCCTCCATATTGGACACTGCATTCTTTGAGAACATGAAGAATTTACCTAGTCAGCCAAAAGCACCATTATATAAAGATAACCCAGATCTTAGAGCCACATGCATGTGTACAGAATCAGCCCCCAAGGTCTAGAGTCACCAACTCTGTTTTACATTGAGCCTCTTACCATCTGCCTTATCCTTACAGTTACAGTTCAAAAAGGAAGAATCTTTGTGTTTTTAAGAAGACCAAAAGTAGGTGAGCAAATCTGTGACAAGAGTTCCTCAGGTTTTGATGTTTACTAAGCAACGTATCTTGCTCTTTAAGAGCGGATGGCAAGCCAAAGAGCTGTTGCTGTGCTTTCGTGGAAACTCTGCTAAGCTGAACTACCTACAAAAAAAAAGTCTTTTTTTTTTTTTGGTGGCATTTTCTTGGCTTCTGTCAAGATAGCTGCCAAAGGATAGGATAGGAAAGAAGATAATTGAAGTGATGTCGAACTAGTCCACCCTGTGCTTTTCACCTAGAGAAAGCCCCATGTTCTGATTATGAAACTGCATCTAATTTTCAAAGACTGTATAATTGAGAGGAAATTGATCCAATTAAAAGTACATCACAAATTACTCCCCTAGTTGTTACAGCCACTCTATCTGTGGCAGCAGCTGGCAGCAGGAGATCTGTCTTTGGTGTCAGTGGGGGACTTGCAGAGGCAATACAGAGGCCGATGCCTTTGGCACACAGTTTGCAGCAGACAATGTGATATTGCCGGCTGGCATGGTGTGCCCAAGGCCAGCAATCCTCCAGCTGCCAGTGCTAGGGGAAGGAAGTGCTATTAGTGTTGGCATCAGCATATAGGCCTGCCCCATCCTGAACCACACTCATGCCTTGGCCCTCAAGTACACCAGGTTATGTGCTGGCTCAAAATGGAAATGTGTGGTCTGAATATTTTTGTTTCTTTGATGTGAATAATTTAGGCTGTGCTTAGCACAATGTTCAACTATCTACCATGCTGACTAAATTGCACAGGATAGCCCCAAGAACTAATCTGCTCAATCACAGCAGTTTTTTGTTTTTTAAGCCGCAGTACTCTTATTCAAAGGAAGTCTTACATACAAGCCTACCATGTAAAGAGGATCAAGGAGAGGGGGGTAAGATTTAATAATATGGTCAACTCTTGAACCACTGTGTTGTATATTTGAAACCAACATAAGATTGTATGTCAGTGATACGTCAATAAAAAAAAAGATCAAGGAACAGCTGCTCTGGTTGAAGGAGGTTTGTGGGCTGGGAGAACAGCCTTTTTGACCTCACCTAACCTCCTATGTACCATTATAAAACTTGTGAATTTGCAGAAGACATTCTGAAAACCACTGAACTACAACACTGCTTATCATCCAGTTCCATCATACTAGCCACATGGTCCTGGGCCAGTCATTTAACCCTTCCTCCTCTGGAGGTGACCTGATGAAAATGGCTCTTCCCTCCAGCCAGGGTATAAGATGTGAGACAACAGATGTGAAAATGCCTGGAAAGATTATTGCATACCCAACAAGTGAGAGTGATCATTGTAGTCTTTTACTGAATGTCTCAAAAGAGTGGAGTGAGGTGGTCCAGCCACTCCCAAACAATGTCTTCCCATTTTCCTATTTTGCAGGCTCCTATTTCCCAACCAAAATCTTAAGCATTTCCTCCCCCTAGCCACAAGGCTTCCAATAAATCTGGTCACCTGTTCCTTTTTACTACTTACCTACCTATATCCTGTTTCCATTACCATGTATATCACTGTGTTGCAATTATTTGCACATGTACTTGAGTTTTATTAAGGGCTAACTAATCTCTCCCTACAAGCACATAATATGGTGCCTAATTCAGAGTATGTCCTTAGTTATGGCTGTTTTAACTTGATGATAGGCCCAATCTTCCTAACATATCCTTCAGATTGGATAAAAAAGTAATCTCAGGCAAGCCCTTTTATAAGGTACCGAAAAAAATGAAAGACAAATGATTTACAGATTGGTTAGCCTGTGCTTTCCTTTATCATTTTGAGTAATTATATAGAATTAAGGTTTCAGAGCAATGACCCCTTGAATATTTATTGAATACCTACTGTGGGTCAGGCACTATACCAGGTGTTCAGAAGAGAAAAATGTAATGATAAATGACAGTATGTCTACTTTCTTATAAATTATTTCACTCCTATGGGAAGTATTTAAAATCTCATTTTCCATTGCCCTGGACTTCCTCCAAGGCCAGGCATAGGTACTGTCCAAATGACACTGAGGGTCAAGTCCAGTGTTCACTCCAGCCTGAGACAGCCCACGGGACATTCCATTATTCCAATCAGTAGGATAAACTTGGCTTGAGTCTTAACAGTGTTTTTGTGGGTATGGCAAGTAATGCTGAAGTAGTTGTCCTTTTATTCCAGCACTAATGAATGGCCTCTTAAAGTGAAGTGTTGCCCTGCTCTCTAGGAGGGAGATGGAAGGCAGAACTTGGTATGAAACTCAGCTCTGCCTTGCACCTGGCTAGGCTGCTGATTTGCTCTCAAGACGAGCAGCCTCTCAAGGGATCTGAAAACATATTATAGATATGAAACAGCAGATGCTTTTTACAAGCAGGGCAATGGTGAAGTAGAAATCTGTTTAGCAAAATAAACACTCATACTCCAGACCTTTGGCCATATCTTGTTGATAGCATTAATATTCATGGTACCCTGGCTAAGCCTGAAGTTAGAGAGGCAGTGCTAGGACTGGCAATGTATTCTAGTGGGAAAGTCAATGGACTTGGTTGTGCCTGAAGCACAGCTCTGCCTCTTAACTAGCTGTGTGGCCTCAGGTGATCACCGTACCTCTGCCTCAGTTCCCCTATCTTATAAAATAAGGTGGTTGGACTAGGTCACTAAAATCCCTTCTAGCCCTATGATTTTAATTACTTTTTGACCAACTGAAATTGTGGTTGAATTTTCACCCAATGCTTTTGCATAATTCTTGCTATGATTTTATTGTGCTTACATCAGAGAGTAGTAGAAGGAACCTGCATTTTCTAATCAATGCCCCCTTAACCCAATTGCTTACTGTACCCCTAGTATTCCTCCTCTGGTACAAGGAAATGTCAATTCATGGTTTAGAGGGCTGCTATGAGAATTAAAAAGGAATAGTATATGTAAAAGTGATGAATTCAGAATATATGACTTCCACTGTTAAAGTACAAAGGCTTCCTTTCTTTGTCTACTTTCTTATAAATTATTTCACTCTTTCCTGTGGGAAGTATTTGAAATCTTGTTTTCCATTGCCCTGGACTTCCTCCAAGGAAGAATGAACTGATGAAGAACCTTGATGAACAGATAAAGAATTTTAAGGTTAATAATACTGGGGGAGATTCCAGACCTGCATTTTTGATGCACCAGCAGTGCTCAGCTTTTTAATGAAAAAGCCTATTGGAACACGGGGAAGGCAGTAGAGCACAGAGAAGACAAGTAGTGACTCTATAGCATCTTACTATGCTGATGGACAGTGACTGCAAAGGGGTGTGTGGTGGGGATTTGATAATGCGGGGATCTAGTAACCACAGTGTTGCTCATGTGATTGGATATTGATACCTCGCCCCCCAAAAAAAAAGCCTATTGGAGGAAGAGTGGGATTGCTGGAGGAACAGAGGCAAAGCTCTTTCACAGGAATGTATCCTGCCAGGAAAGCTGCATATAAAACCTAAAGGCTGATTACTTGATGGAAGTAATTAGGATGGCATCTTGACTCTTTTTGAAAGGTTAAATGAGTCAAGATTTTATATTTTGTGTGTGTGTGTGTGTGTGCAGGCATACCTCAGAGATATTGTAGGTTCAGTTCCAGACCACTGCAAGAAAGTGAATATTGCAATAAAGTAAATCAAATCAAGTTTCTAGTTTCCCAGCACATATAAAAGTTATGTTTATAATATATTGTAGCCTATTAAGTATGTAATAATAGCATTATTTCTAAATATATATATACATTAAACAAAAACATGCTAAAAAACGCTAACCACCATCTGAGCTTTCAGAAAGCTTAATTACAGATCACAATATCAGTATCAACTATAATAATGAAAAAGTTTGAAATATTGCAAGAATTACCAAAATGTGACATAGTGACATAAGGTGAGCAAATAGTATGAGAAAAATAGAGCTGATAGACTTACTTAACACAGCATTGCCACAAACCTTCAATTTTTTAAAATAAACTATCTGTGAGGCACAATAAGGTGCATAACATGAGGTATGCCTGTATATATGTATGTATATATATGTATATGAGTATATATATATTTTAAACAAACATGGATGCTTAGCTAGTTCTGTAGATATTTTCTTCCATGTCAACATTAAGTCAAATAATTAAAAAAATGAAAATAAGCCTAAATATGTTAGTTGGAATTAATATAAGATATTGTAGTTAAAACTTGGGCTTTGTAAGCATGGAAGCCTGGATTCAGTCCTGGTTTCCCCCTTAGTTCTATGACTACTGAGTCATTTAGCCTCTTGGCCTCAGTTTCCTCATTAGTAATAAAATTATACTGTTTAGTATGTTATTATGTAGAAAATATGGATGTAAGTCTAGACTTCCAGACATTACATAAACCTTCAGTAGTGGTAAATATTTTTAAATTACAGTAAAATAATATCTGAAGGTTACCATCATTTTTTTGATTGAAGGATTATGTAAAACTGGTAAGGAAAATGCCTATTTCCCTCACAGGAAAATTATTTAGTAACTCACTGAGATTCTTGATTGAAACGTAGTTTGGGTGAGCGTGTGTGAAAATCAAATGCATGTCTTCCCTATATAAATAAAAGTAGGATTTTCTTTTGGTAATTTGCTCAGTTTATCTGGTTACAACCATAATGCCATTGTATATTTAGACAGATTATTAAGATCTTAGATTCCATACATTCATTTATTCATTCACTCAAACACATCTAAGACATTTACTGTTTTTATTATTATTAGTGGTAATTATATGAGTAATTAATGCCAGAGGAACCAGTGATGAATTATGCAGCCAGGTAGCTTGTGGTCTGGCTGGACATATAAGTTAGGCAAAAGAATAACACAAATATACTCAAGAATAAGATAACGGTGTAAGACAGAAATGGAGTGGCAATTGTTTGAGGCAAGACTATATAGTTGAGAGGATATGGCTGCTGAAGGGCCTTTCAAGTAGAGAGACATTGTGAACAATGGTACAACATTACAGGGAAGTGTAAGAAGGTATTACCAGCAGGATGTTCAAAACACACAAGATTGGAGGGGTATTAAAGAAATTCAAAGGTCTAATGTGATCCGTTGGTCCATTCCCTTCCTTGTTAAGTAGCAGTAGAAGTGGTTCTCTTCTCCCTGCCCTAAGTCATATCACTTACTCCTATCAGTAACCGTGGCTCAACGAGGCTTAAATTCTACGGAGATGGTGGGGTGTGGATTAGCATCTCCTGTAGTGGGGGCTGAGGAAGAGGGAGAAGAAAGACAATGTTGTTTGAAAACACACCCCTCCTCATCCCCGGTATTCTAATCGATCTCCTTACTGGGAATCTCTGATGACAATGTTTCAGAAATAAATGTTCTGCTTTTTAAAAATCTTGAAATAATGCCAGTTTGCTCCCTCTCACAAGCCTAAGATAAATGGGTCTTGCAATCTTGATAGAACTTTGTAATAGAGTTTTACTCCCTTTTTGATGTTTGATGTTGACAGTGTTCAGAACCTACCACTCCTCTTTCATCTTCCACCCCATGTCTGAACAAACTGATAAGGAATCTCAAGTACCTCCACCTTTGGTGCCAATGGGGAGTTCAAAACCTACAAGCCGTAGTCCATGCACGGGAACCCTCATCCTGACTCTACCTTCAGGCTGCCATGAAAGCCGACTTAGTTTTTTCCTGTTCTCTCAAGCCATTTTTGGATCTGCTTGGTCGCTCTAGAAAGTCTCATGTGAGCTATAAACCTTTTCATACCCACTTGTTACATAGGTAGTGCCGTCAGTCTCAACATCCCTCCATTAAAGCTAATTAATGTAGTTAAATGAGAGATGCAAATGATGGAGCAAAAAACCCTCAAAGTCTGTGTTCTTTCCTCCTACTCTGGTGACTATGGCCACTATGCTTGTTTTTCTCCTCATGAGATGGGGATATTAACTTAATAAGTGCTAGGACTGTTCTTCAATGTCCCATAACATTTTGTGCAAGTTAAAGCTGGCCCAAAATGAGCAGGATGGGCAGACACCCTGAACGAAATAAATGAAATTTCTTATTTAATTCAGAAATGTCAAAAACAATACTGAGTATGGCAGTGGAAAAGTAGCTCCCTAAGGAAACAAGGTGCAAAAAGGGAAATTCGTTTTTTTGCTGGGAGGTACTGTCCTCTCCTATGACTTCATTTATCTATGTAATTGGGTCCCAAGCTTGCATTTTTCAGGTCTTACCTTCTTTTTCTTTACTAGACTGGTGTACCAGTTGCCAATTGGTGCGCCAACTGTGGGCTGGTGTATTTGATTAGGATATCCCTTAGAATTCTTAGACTCAGAAATCTTAAACTCAGACCCAGTATTCAAAACTGAACGCAGCTCCCTAATATCAGCTGTTCTTCTTTTGTTCCACTTAAGGAACACTTAGGAGTGGCAGCATTGACTCAGGCACTTAAGCCAGAAACCTTGACACTATTTCTAATCATTTCCCTCACTTCCCACCTCCCACCATTCAATAATAAAGTACTCATCACACTAGCAACTTAATATTTTTTTCCCATCCATATTCCTTTTTTTTAATCCTCATGACTACTAAATTTTAACTAGCTACTATTTTTCTCCTGAAGCACTGCTACAACTTCCCAATTGACCCTCCGAACTCTAATCTAGCATCCCATATACACTTCCTTTTATCCAAAGTCAAGCCCTGTCTCACACCAGCAGAATCAAATTTTAAAATGCAAATGCTAATAATAATGCATAAAATCTTTAAAGGGTCTTCAGTTGTTCCCAGTTAAGGGACAAATTTCTTGACATAGTCCACACATCCAGTAGGATTTGGTTCCCACCTCCCTATCATCCTAGATCTATCTCACCATGCTTCTATCCATCGCTAACAATCTGCCCCATCCACATTTTTTCCCCTATCTTTGG